AATCCAGTGATACGTCCATTTCTAGTGGTAAATATTTTTCCTAATAGTTGTTTTGTTCCCTTTTTTTTTTTATAAGTGGGTTACTATGTTATACACTGTATTCTAAAGCTTTATATATTTTGCACAGAATAATAATAAAATAAGTAGTCAAAGATTGTGGAGACTGTTTTGCTATATAAAATGATGATAAAATTATAGTTACTGCTAGAACTAGGTGGGTGCTAGGCCTGTTGAAGAAAGATGATGAATGAAAAGAAGAAATCTCAATTCAGGCTGTTCGCCTGTTTTGGACTTAGAATGCTCTGGATAGCTTAAAAGCAGCATATACATATTTAGCTTTTGATGACCTGTATATTTCTTTTTTGGTCCTTCACTTCATACATAACATGGGGACGTGGCTCCCTAAAAACACTGATTGTATAGTGTACAAAACATTGAGTATTCTGCATGTCACAGTCATCTAACGTCCATCTTTTATTGGCTGGTAATTCTTTTTTTACTCTGTACTTAAGCTTTTTATAGGAACACCAGGTTTTTGTAAAAAAACTAACTTCAAAGGGTAATGATAGCACCGTTCACACTAGAATTATGATTTTGTTTTTTAATTTTGCATATATTGATAATAATAAAATAGGTATTCAAAGATCATGAAGACTGTTTTGCTATATCAAATGATGATAAAATTATAGTCACTGCTAGAACTTGGTACGTGCTAGGCCTATTGAAGAAACACAATGATGAATGAAATTATGAAATCTCAGTTTTGGTTATTCACCAGTTTTCAATTTTCTGACACTCTGGGTAGCTGAAAAGTAGTATATACACTGGAGATAGAGCAACTACGCCAGGTAGCTCTTTATATCTAGCTTCTTATAACCTGTAGAGAAGAAAATTCATATGACTTTTATTGCTTTAATACAGCCATCCCTACATAGAAAGTGCTACTGCACTTTCCGATACTGATGTCATGATATGCATCAACCTTATAAAAGTTAGCTGTATAACACAAGAACCAAATCTTTATTTTTTAAATAGAATAGAAAATTCTATTATAACAATGTTTTATTTGTATTGATCAACGTTGACCTTAAAATATTCTGGGATATAAAAGTTTTTAATTTTTATAGCTTTGCCTTACAAATTTAAAAACATAACAGGGAATGAGTAATAAGAAAAGTCAGAGTCTAATCTGATAACATTAGTTTTATTGTAGTGACAGCATTGTTTAAATTCTCAATGAAAGGCTGATTTGCTCCTTGTTATTGAACTCTTATGTTTTTTCAATACATATGCAACCAGACTCTTTGTTTTTACGATGCTTGGAGCAGTGGAATATTTTTCATGTTAAATTCCATAAAAACAGTTGGTACTTCAAACAAGTAGGTCTTTTTATATCTTCACTTTAGAAATACAGTGCTGTCATTTTTTTGCATTTTTATTAAAATTTTCTGCATATAACACAGAATTATATACATAAAAAACATGCATATAGAAGCACAAGTATCAAGACTTTTCTCAGGTCTTTTCAAGTAATATTTGAGGGCAGAGAAAACCAAATTGCCCTGCAGCTGCTTTGCATCTCCAGCAACATATACATGAACTCTTTCTGGAGACTGATGGTCATTGAGCTAAACAAGCATTAGATAGTAAGGTCATATCTGTCAACCATAAAAAAAACTTCTCCTGAGTTATGTTTTAGAATAGGCTCATTCTACTGCATATCAAAACATAATGAAATAGAGTCTGATGGATGCTCTTTCATCAACTTACACAAATATTTTGATCATCATTTATGGAGTCCAAGTTCAGTTATAAACCTTTGTGTTTTAGTCACATTACTTTCATCATTATTATTTTTCTTTCTTGGTAGGGGTTGGGGGAATAAATAACCAAGTAATAACTATCTGGGTTTGTCCATAATGTCAGCCATTTGCAGTGACACTACTGAGCATACTCAGTGAAATGAGCACATCATGCCATAACATATTGCGAGGACTGAATGAGTTTGAAATAAACACTTGAAAATTTAACGTTCTTTACAACTGGACTGAGCTTATTTTTGTATATACAGAGAATTAAACCTAAAATAATTAAAATCCATATGCACACCATAGTCCATTTTTCACTGTACAACTGCTAAAGTGAACACACATCTCCAAGTGAATACTAATATTTCATCAGTTATGTCAAATAAAAATAATTAAGTGCATGTATCAGTTTTATGTAAACCACAAAACAATGTACACAAAATCGATAAAAAAAATGGTTTACCTCTTCTTCTCTATTCAACCGTAATGTTACATCATTTCTTAGAATTACCTCTACAGTTCTGATTCATATTTATGCTACTTATAAACCTAAAAACTTTTTTTTGGCAAATGGTTGTATCCTTGTTGTCAAAAATATCATTCAATAAAATGTTGTTGAAGCTTATGTCTAATGATTTCTTGAAATTTGTATTCTTTTTCCAAAAACAAGTTCAAAATAAGGTGATCTGGGTATAGCCTTAATGTATGCAACTTTCAACAAAGTTTAGGAAACAATTTGTTTCGAATATATATAGCATTAGGCTAGTATGTGAGATAAGCCTTTCAGGGTGAGCTATTGAGTAAGCAAATTGTTTGTTTCTTCAGTGCTACTCAAATGTTTTATGGTTCACTGAAAAAAATAGATACATCATTAGGCAATTACGTGAAAATGCTGTTTAGAAGTAGTTTATTTGTAAAGTTAGGCTTATTAGTGAATGATGGTTACAATAAAACAAACCTGTAAGACTTTTAAACATAACAGCGATCTTGGCCAATCACATTCAATGTTTCCATTCTCACCAGCTTGGCCTGCCTGCCAAGTACAGCCTGTAGTAAAACTAGGCTTGCATCAGAATTCTCACACATACTACTAAACCATAATATG